AATGCGATGATTTCAAAGTTTTGAGCAAGCGTGAATCAGTCTTTATCGAAAAAGTCCGAAGACTAGGGGACAAGGGATGAAATTATAGCGGGTCCACCGCTGACAGTGCCGAAGGACGCACCAGGCATTACGACAGACTAGGCGGGCTGGTATAAGCCATCAGGATCTCGTGATTTCATTAGTTTGCTTTTGAAATTATTAGCCAGGCGCAGTTTTGTATCCGGCTCATTAGTTGGGAAACATGAATATTGATTATTAGCAACACTAATGCATCTTGAACTATTGAAATTTTGAACATTCAATTTACAATACCAGCATAGAATGAGCACATGCCAGCACTGATTCAAGGTATGGAGAAGTCTGCGGAGCCAACATAAAGTCACTTTCCCAGGCTATCTTGCAAAATAAAACCCTAAAATTTGCTGTTACTTGTAAATTTTATTTTCATATTATGCAACTTATCTCAATTCAAGATTAAGATCGAACATCGTCTCGCAGAAGAATTTAGAAATTACTGTCAAAATTTAGAAGGTATTTGTCCTCCTACGTGGAGAGCGTTTTCTTGCACATTTTCGATTAATAGTTGAACATGAACACAAGCATGCACACAAATACGCATAAGCACAGATATAATCTTGTTAAAATGTGTAGTTATAATATAGCTCATTGGAAAATCATGCAAATGTACTGGTTTAGCCGATCATTTCGAACTTTCAGCTTATTTTCAATAAAAGTATTTATGAACCAACGACAAATCCCTTGACATTTGGTCCCAAGCTGGCAACAATACCGCTACTTTCATGACCCAATATCATTGGTTTTGCGGGCTTGAATGGCCCGATTTCGCCATGAGTCCAGAAATGCACATCCGTTCCACAGATCCCAACAGTATGTACCCTGATGAGCAGCTGGCCTGGCTTCGGTACTGGTATTTCACGCTCTTCCAGTCTTAGATCCTGCTTCCCGTACAACACACAGGCCAAATTTTTGCTCATTTTCTGCAGTAATATGCAAATGTAGAAAATACTGTTGTGGCCTTCTTTGTTTGCTCCTGCAACAAATAGGGTACGATAACAGAAATGAAAAAATGCTGAGCGCAAAACGCAACATCAGGAACCACGCAACCATATCAGGGGAGGAGCATTTAAAATGGAATTCCGGATGAACTACTCTGATTAGTGTTTTCGGGATTCTGTGCAAAGTGTTTTCAGGCAACGATGACGCAAATACAGATTAAGTTATAAATTCGACCTGAACTGGTGAAACAAGCAAAGACAAAAAAGACATTATGTGCAAAAAAATAGGGCACTTAGAGCATTTCAAATTCACGGGATGAATTTTATCACTGCGCCAAGAAAAACCCAGGCTGGAACGCACCAGACTTGCCTGTGCGATCATGCTGTTTTACACTAAACTTCGAGGTCACTAGCAGCAGGACTGACCCTGAGCTATACCCTAACACTTGAACTCATACTGGTCGTGCTTTGGCCGTTTCCGGCATGGAGGAGAAAGGATGTTGTTTGGGATAAAGGTGTTGCGTTATAAAGCCGCATGAACTTTCAGGTACATGATGACCAGTTTTTTGCATGAAGCCCCGTCGTTTTTCCAGCAAATTCTCGCTTTTTGAAAAAATGCGAATTTCCAGTTCACTAAAAAGTGGAAATGTTGCTATAGCAGTCCTTCGTCAAAAAATCCAAGTACGCAAATGAACTTAATGTTCATTTAAATATTTGGATGAGGGTGGTCGTTCGCTGCAAAATGCACTCGTTTCTGATTTTTCGGTAAAGATGAGTACTTCTCGCGCCCACCTGCAGGGAATTTCACGCCCAAACAGAATTGGGGCCGCACTTGAAAGTAGAATATCCAAGCGAAGTTTCAGCCTCGCACCTTATCCACCAAGCGAAATATCCATTTCACTACAAATACTTGTGAAATGCCCTAAGTCGCAACGCTAGTGCAAACCGGTACTCATTTTAGGTATACTAATTTCCATATGGGTGACAAATATGGTGACAAAATCTCAACTACTGTTTTCCGGCAAGTTTTCGAATTAGCACAGTACCAATTTACAGACTTTGACGTGATCGAACGCGCTACACAAGCGTGTGCGGCGGCTGAATTTGAAACCTTTAGCTCACACACACAGAGAGAATATTCCTGCAAAGTTTCAGCTCTGTACGTTGCCTGGTTCGCGAAATCGCTTCCCGCCAAAAAAATCTGCATATTTTTTTTTCTGAGGGTCTAGGCGCGTGTGGGAGAAGGTCTTAAAACGGGAGGGTGACACACGGAGTAGGAATATATTTGAACATCCCAGCTTTTCTGGTTGCTGAGAGGAAAGTGGGTGACAAAATTCACTTTCTTATGAAAGCATACACACATACACAGACGACCTCTCGACAACATACCCTTTTGCTGGTTGTAGTAGCGCTATAGCGCTGCACAACAAAAACGCATAATCGTTTTTTTATGCTTTTTCGCATATATGTAAATTGCAGAAACGCGTATTGGGAAGAGGTTGTGTGTGTGTGTGTGTGTCTTGTGTCTGTGTGTTAGCACTTTTTGTCACTCACTTTTAACTCGTGATCCAGAAAAGCTAGAAGGCTGAAACTTTGGGGATATGTGCCCATATCATGCACGACCCTCCCGTTTTAATTTCATTTCTAGCGGGCACCTAGGTGGCGCATATGGGCGCTTTAAAAAATATGCAAATTTTTTGGCGGAAAAGCGGTCTCAGGAACTACATGAGCTAAGGGGCCGAAACTTTGTAAGGATATCCCTGTGCATGTGCTAGCTAAAGATTTCAAATTCAGCCTCCAGGTATGCGTGGTACTCACGTAAGAGCGTATGAAAGTTTAGGGGGGAAATTGCTAACTCGGATACCAGGAAAGCTAGATAGCTGAAATTTTGGAGGAATGTTCCCCTATCCAAGTGCAAATAAAATATTTCAAATTCAGCCCCAAGCTATGCATGATACTCACGTAAGGGCATATGAAAGTTTCTGCAGGAAAATTACTAACTCGGTAACCAGAATAGCGAGAAGGCTGAAATTTCAGGCAGATGTCCCCTGTCCACGCGCAATTTAAAAATGTCAAATTCAGCTTTCTAAGCACGTGGAGTATCTGAGTACGGGTAAGTGAAGGTTTCTGCGGTAGAATTGCTAACTTGGTAACCAGAAAAGCTGGAAGGCTGAAATTTTGAGGAAATGTTCCCTGTCCAAGTACAACACAAATGTTTCAAATTCAGCCCCAATCTATGCGTGGTACTCTCGTAAGGGCGTAAGAAAAGTTCTACAGGAAAATTTTAACTCGAGAACCAGAAAAGCTAGAAAGTTGAAGTTTCTTTGGAAGTTCCTTGCCAAGTACAGCTTAAGTATTTCAAATTCAGCCTTGAGGTGTGCGTGGTTCTAGCACACTGGCACTTAAAAGTTTTGGCGGAGAAATTTCTCACTGAACAGCTAAGTTACTTTTAAACAACGACCGTTAAATGGAAGTCTCACATTTACTTTATGCAAAATTTATGGTGATTTGTGCTAGTGACCGCAAAAGGTAGGTGTAAAGCAACAGCCATTCATACAGTTAATGACCTGAGTAATTCAAGTCCGGTGCAGAAACACATGATCGCATGGGCTCGCCCGGTGCATTCCAGCCTGAGTTACAGCTTGCGCAAGAACGCATTTGTCTCGAGGTTGTTTTGTGCGCTTTTGCTTTTTGTGCAAATGCAAAAACGCATATCGTCAAGAGGTTATCTGTTTGTTTGTGTGTGTTCAGAGAGGAGTGGACTTCGTCCCCATTTTCAATCCAGAAAACAGAAAAGTTAGGAAGCTGAAATTTTGGGCCATATTCCCACCCCTATGTGCCATCCTTCTGTTTTAAAATCAGTGCTCAAGTGCGTCAACTCGCATACGAAATACTTCAAAAAAATGTGTCAAATTCTTGGTGAGAAACGATTTCAGGAACCTGGTCAGATAGGGCGCTGAAACTCTGCAGAGATATTCTCCGAGCATCTACGAGCTAAAGGTTTCAAATTTAGCCAGTGCGCATGCTTACGTTATGCTTACGGTTATCTATGTTCGCGGTTGGTAGTGTACTAACTCGAAAACTAGCTGCAAAAGGGCAGCTAAAATTTTGTAATAATATTTATCATCCAAATGGGAACTCGTAAACCCTAATGGGGTTTCGGGCTGTACTTGTACCATGTCTTAGGGCGAGCCAAACGCATATGTAGCGAAGTGGCGATTTCGCTTACTGGTTTGAAGGGATATTCTACCTTTATTTGTGGTCAAAATTCAGCTTGGAGGCTAAATTTCTTGCATGCCGAAAACAAATACTCAGTTTTACAGTGTCAATACTATTCATTTATTTTTAGCCTCTTAAAAAACAAAACCATTTTTCAAGTTCCCCTTGTTCCCCTTTATCTTTTTTTTTTCATCCTTACCGCAACCCACCCCCATGCCTCCCATGGGATTTTGCATAAATACAAAGCCAGTGCTGACGTGCTTTTTTGTTAGGATAATTAATGTGTTTTTGTATCCAGCGACTATAGCTGGATACAAAGGGGGCAAACGTACCGAGCCACTCGGGGCAGGACCTATCTTCCCTATATAACCTCACGTTTCCTTCATTCCAGGCTTTTTGCTGGGATTCGTCTTACATTAATCTGAGTTCTCGATTTTCGATTCGGAAGTGGCTTCAGTGCACTCGATTTTGACATCCGGGATTTTGCTAGAAATCGTCATTCTCCTTGAACGGTCCCGGTTGTCTAAACGCCGTTTGACTCCGACCAATTCTACCGGCCCCCAACCAAGTCTTTTCACTCGTATTGTTTTTAAACGTACTTATTTTCCTAGCCAAGTTAAGATAAATTTAATGTGATAAAAACCACGATTCGCACTTCGTCTTGCCTAGTTACAACGACTCCGTAATACCTCACAACCACCCATCAAAAACATTTACTATGGTAACCTCAAAAACGAATGCATTTTGCCGATTTCTTTTTCCTGCTTTCTCGACATGCCATCCACTATCAAGTCGTATTTCTAGCAAACGACCGGTGCCGCAAACTACTCATTTCTCTTCATGCAAATTTGTTAATCGCGGCTCGATGGTGCAAGACTGCTGTCGCAGCCGATGCCCTTTTCCCACGTGTGCAAGAAAAGGCCAAAACAGAAGCAGCATGAGTCAGTGTATTAAATTCTAAAGCACAACCATTTACACTGTTAACGATCTGACCGCTTCAAATTTAACGCAAAAACATAAGATCGCACCAGCGCCACTGTCCAGTTCTTTGCGTTTTTGCTGTGCAGCGCTACAGCAGCGCTATAGCGCTGCTACAGCCAGCAAAAACGCATATTGTCGAGAAGCC